TGCATATGCGATTCTCAAATTTATAGTAAACGCATTTGTCACTTTCATTCACTTTGTACCCATTTGATATCATTAAGTTATCAAATTTTTCATGCCATTTCTTAGGAGCTTGTTTTAGTCCATACAAAGACTTATCTAACTTACAAACCTTGTTTTCTTGTCCATAGATCACAAACCCTTCTGGTTGTTCCATATAGATTTCTTCTTCTAAGTCACCATTTAAAAAAGTTGTTTTAACATCCATTTAGTGTACTATTAAGTTATAAATAGAAGCTATTGAAATAAGTACCCTAATGGATGTAATTCTAGTGACAGGAGAAAAGGTGTCAAAGATATCTATATTTTCTCTTTGTCTAAAACCCTTGGCAACAAGGCGAGCCTTGTATTTATCAATACTTCCATCAGGTTTTAGTTTCTTTTTCAAAACCCATTTACAACTGATTGGTTTTCAACTAGGAGGCAATTCTACTAAGTGCCAAGTCTTCTTAGACTCTAGAGATTCTATCTCATCATTGACAGCTTCTTGCCATAAATCAGCATCCAGAGATGACAAGGCTTCTTGAAGATTCATTAGATCTTCTTATACATTATAAGCCTCATAATCAGGCCCGTAGTCTTTAGAAACTCTTACTCGTTTACTTCGTTGAAGTTCTGTTTCTACATTGTCGTTGCTTTCTGTGCTTCTTATCACAAGAATGTGACTCGATTGTGTGCCCTCACTATTTATCAATTTGAAAGGAAATTTGTCTTCATAGAATTAAGCATCATTTAATTCTATGATCACTTTTGCCTTTAGGTCATAAAACCTATATGCTTTACTGTTTGTTGCATACCCAATAAATACACATTCATATGCTCTACTAGCGAGTTTAACTCGTTTTGGATCCGGAATTCTGACATAAGCCAGACAGCCCCAAGTTCTCAAATAAGACAAGTTTGGGTGTCTTTTCTTTAATATCTCATAAGGAGAGATCTTACATTTTGACTTGGGGACTCTATTCAGGACATAGCAAACAATCAATAAAGTTTCCCCCCACCAGTGAGGTGCAGCACCAGAATTCATCATAATTGCAACAAAAAGTTCATTAAGAGTTCTATTCTTTCTTTCTGCTTTACCATTCATTTCAGGAGAATATGGAGCATTCGTTTCATGTACAATTCCATGTTCTTTATAAAAATTATTAAATAGACCAAAGTCATGTTTAGTTCCCCTATCACTACGACGTCTCTTAATCTTCTTACTAAGTTGATTCTCAATTTTAGTTACATACAACTTAAACATATCAAGTGCTTCACTTCATTAAGTATACACAAGTATAATCAGAACAATCATCAATAAAAGTGATAAAATAACGTTTACTGTTTCTAGTTAAAGTTCCATCTAATTCACATATATCAGAGTGTATAAGATCTAGGGGATCAGATTCTCTAATGATTGCTTTATGTGATGTCTTAGTTATTTTAGCTTGACTACAATATTCACATTTATTTGAATCATTGACATTTAATTTAGGGATTAGACCTAAGTTGCTTGCATTATACATAATTCGCTTATTAACGTGACAAAGTCCAGCATGCCAAATATTAAGATCACGCAAAAAATAAACAGAAGGACAAATCTTATTCAAATTAACAATCAACTTAAATATGCCATCAGTGACGTACCCTTTCCTAACAAAAATACCATTCTTAGTGATGGTGTACAAATTTTCCCCTATAGTTTGACTAAACCCAGCCTTATTTAAAAGAAAACCAAAAACAAGATTCTTCCTAATTTCCGGAATGTGCATGACGTCCTTCAAGATCAAAGTCTTTCCTGAGGTGAATTTCAGCTCAACATCTCCAATTCCAGCAACATTAGTGGTGTGAGCATCTCCCAACAACACTTTTTATCTTCAGCATTCATGTATGTCTTAAACATAGCACGATCATAACAAACATGGCGACAGGCGCCAGTGTCTATCCATCAACCATCACTTCCACCAACCATGTTGACTTCAGTGATCATAACAATGAATTATTCATCAGTCAGGTTAACTTGTGCATTTGAGCTAGTAGAAGGTTTAGGCCTGCTCTTACATTTCTTATCCATATAACCCAGTTTCCCACAATTGTAGCAAGTGAAAACTGGAGTATCATTTCTTTGAGGTGGTGGTTCCTGCCTAGAAATTGGAGCATATGGGGCCCTAGAGGGATTTCCATTCTTAATTCAGTTCACGGTATTACGGTTCTGATTCTTTAAAGGTTTTCCCGTAGGCTTCAAAACCGCGCCAAATTTCTTTTTGTTGTTTGAAACAAATAAGACTTCATCCTTCTAATCTTGCCTTCGAGCTTCCTCTTTAATTTGAACGCGAGTAATCAAACTCTCGATTGAAAATTCTTTAGTTTTATGTCGAAGCAAATTTTTGAAATCTTTCCAACCAGGGGGCAGCTTGTCAATTATAACAGCAATCTGAAATTGTTCATCGAGGGGCATACCTTCAATTATGATTTCATGAGAAATTTTCTGAATTCCGTGGCTTTGAGCTTCCACTGACCTTTCATCCACCACTTTGTAATTCATGTAGCGGTTGACAGCATATTTCTTTGCACCTGCTTCTTCAGTATCATATTTCTTCTGCAGAGCCTCCCACACCTGTTTAGCAGTCTTGTAATTATTGTAGTAATCGTAAAGATCATCAGCAAGACAATTCAGAATGTGATTTTTGCATAGGTAGTCATTCTCTTGCCATAGGGAGATTTCTTTTCTGAGTTGTAAGTTATTTGCCGCAACTTTAGCAACAGAGTCTAAGTCATACGTTTTAGAAGTCCCGTCTGATTCCATAATTGTCTTACCATTATTTAGTTCATTTAATCCAGAAGGAGCAACAGGGATATCCTCAGTCAGAACGTGGGCAACCTTCTTTAAAGTTAAGAAAATTTTCATCTTAGCTTGCCAACGTTTAAAATTGGAACCCTCGAACTTAAATGGTTTGTCAGAGACAGAAGCGGACGTAGTAGTACTGATAATTTCCTCAGTAGCCATGGCAGTTAAGAATACATCTTAAAATTGTTGTTTCTGGTTTTGAAAAAATGCCACAAAGAGAAATTATCGGGACGAGTCGCGTACTAGGTCGCTTTCTTTAAGACGTTTCGTCGTACTGCCAATAGTTATACAAAGCAATCGAGTTTGGACGATGTCTCCAGGATAAAACAGCCTGTTTAGAAATACGATTATTACTTGCACTATAATAAATCGTTCAAAGAATTACACCTTTAGATGGTATAAAACCAGTCGTAGTATCTGAAATTTTCCAATCGTTGATCGCTTAGTAAGCGAGTCCAAAAACAGAAAAGAAAATTTTATAGATGAAGCAGAGTAGAGAGAGAGAGAGAGAGAAGAGAAGAGAATTGTAAATTCTGAAATGCTTACAAATGAAGTAAAGAATTCTATTTATAGACAAAGAATCTAACTGAATGAAACAAGTATCGTGGGAGAAAATCGTGGGAGATAGTGGAATCGGCTCAGTCAAATGTAGCTATTTTTTTCCACTTGGTCAGCAAGTCACACGTACACGTATAACTCTTGAAGGACAAGCATAACCAGTCAAAAATAGGTTAAGACTTAGTTTCTGTGCAGGACACGTCACCATTTCGTAATTAATTAATATTAATATTAATTAATTTCTTATTTTTAATTTCCACCGAATTAATTAACTAATGATAATTAATTTCTACTAATTCCGGTTCGAAAAATTAATTCATCTAGACTGAACCGAACTGAGCCGGCCGAAAGGACGACGATGTGTGTCTAGATAGCTTATGGGTGTGTCCTCACTCCTTTACAAAATTGGGGTGCCCCTTGAGACCCAACCTAATTGGCCAAATTGAAATATATATGTACTACTAATATTTGTATTCTCTCCTATGTGGGACTAAAATGAATCCTTTCAAATTCACTTCCATACTAATTCTTACTTATGCTCATTTATTGTCCATTTAATGTCAATAAACCATTTCAACTCTCACTCTACGTTAACATCATACCAAGATTTCCAACAGTATGTACTATAAATGTGGAAAAAAATAATTCATAATAAAAGAATGATGAAAACTCTAACAATTATAGAATCTCTAAAAGAAACGAAAAAAAAAAACTTATTTTGATATAGAATCTCTGAAAGAATGATCAAATATTATTAAAATCATTACAAATTTATTTTATTTGAATTTTTTTTAAGTAATCCTATATTATGACAATTTTTTTTTGCATTGACAAAGTTTTTTTTTGTCAATCAATTATTTTTTATATCATATCTGTGTTGACTTAATTTTTTTAATTTTACAAAAGTGAAATTTAATCTATATATCACTGAAGGACTATCAAATATAAAATAAAAATGAAAATTTAAAAGAATAAAACCAAACAATCAAAATTTGAAAAATTAAAATCAAATAATTTGAAATTTTGGTGAGTCAAAATTACATTTCAACCTAACATAATTTATAAATATCAACAATTTAGTTACAACTTTTCACCCTCATTTAACTTAATAAATATTAATTGAGTTATCTTAATTACTTTTTTTTTTCATTATGTCATTAAATATAATAACAGTTGTATAAAAATACTAACACATAAAATAGATAAATCAATCACTTTTTTATATAAATCAATATTTTAACATCTTCAATAAAGGACAAGGAGTAAATCCAACCTTTCAAAAACAAGTTTATACTTTTGCTACAATTTTGGCCAAAAAGGAAAAAGAGCACTAAAAACATAGCATATGAAAGTATATTGATGACATTCTCATTTTGTGTCCAATAGAAAAACAAAAACATAAATTTAATGGAAAGACTCAATTTTGAAGTTAAACCATTTTCATATTTGAACCCTTTTTAAATCCTCTCCCTCACACAAGTCATCATTTTCATATCCTCCAAACCACTCCCAAAACCACTTCCAAAACCTTAAACCACAAATACATCAAAGAAAAAGAAGAACCTGCTCTTCTCAAATGTCGACACCAATTCTCCTACAGCCACCACCCTTAGAGGTAACCCAACAAGCATACACAACCCATTCAGGTCACGGGTCGATGGGACCCGTCATTGCGGTTCTGGCAGTCATCACTGTTCTGGGTATCATTGCTGGTATGATTGGTAGGCTTTGTTCGGGTGGTCGCGTCATGGGGTATGGCGAATACGACATTGAATCATGGATTCAAACCAAATGTTCTTCTTGTGTAGGCAGCAGAGTAGCCCCTCCTCCACCACCGCCGGTGAATGAACCCGACGCTATTCAGGATTCTCAAGAGATAAAAGAAGATCAACACTCACAACAAGAATCCAGGCAAAGCTCACTTGGTCATAATAGTAGTTAATTAATTACTCCATTTTAGGAACAAGCAATCTTCATGTTTAATTTTTAATTAAAGTTTGCAAAATTTTATTGTTTTCACATTAGACTTGTTATGTGTTTTCTTAACTGCATTTGATTTATCTCCAATTGTTTGTGGTTATGGAATGTGCGACTCATGGGTTTTGAGTGAATCACCCTCCCAGTTATGGGTTTAGATTTGGAAACTATATTTTATTTTACCTCATTCTATTATAAGAAAATTTGAATTCTTTTTGTTTCATGAGATCTAAGAAACTAAACAAATCAAATTTGTTTATAATCTAATTATGGCAAATGTATCCTATCCAGCGAACATAAATGCCCTCAATTTTTGATAGATTGAGTCCAGGTTTTAAATAAGATGCCAAACGGAGTACATATCCTTCAAGTGAAAATCTAGAAAAAATAAATAGAATCTAGCTGAAATATGCATAATTGTGAGAGTGAGACTAAAATTATGATTCGCATGCAAAAAAAATGAAGGTGGGCAGACGGTCATGCGAGTCTTGCATTTCAAAAATTTAAAATGAAAAAAAATTGAGTTAATATTCGTGTCTATCAAAAAAATGGAGTTAAGCGGGACAAATATATTAAAGGATGAAGGTGAAAAAATTCGAGTTAATATTCTGTCTATAAAAAAATAATAGAACCGACATATTAAAGGGTTAAGGTTTAAAATTTTAATCTAGTTTAAAAAAATGTTCTGAATTTAATTGCATCTCTACTTTTTTTTTTTAATCGTCCCACACCATTTTTTTGAGTTTAAACGGAACAATTCCAACGTATATAGTATTTGTATAATACTAATAAGAAAAACTATTACTTAAATTTATTTTATATTATTAATCAATTATAATTATATATTTTATTAAATCATATTAAAAATTTTAAATTATTAATATGATATAACAGAATGATATATTTCTATTGAATATATTGTCATTAAATTCTAAATTTTTTTATCATTTAAAAAAAATTAAAATAGAAAATGAAACACTTTATAGAAGAATGAATTACTATATTATGTTGGCATATTAAACTTTAAATTTGTTGACTGAGTTGAACTAGTATTTAGTTTTTGATAACAATAAATTGATCTTGTTAGAGTTATTCAGGTGGTCCTTTAAGAATCTGCAATCCTTGAATAGAACTAGGTTTTATTTTGACCGTTTGTTGAGTATTTCTATTTATTGCATGCATAAAAATGAAAAATATATTAATGCTGCTTTTATATTCATCTTTGGATTCTGAAATGTGAGTTGTTAAGTAATTATGATACATCATTTTTGGACGTAGAAAAGACAAAGAAAATGGACATTCTCAGTTATGGTCAAGAGCAATAGCTAGTTCTTGTCTTAGTAGGGTCCATATGTTGGACATGCCGACTTGAAATATTTAATGGAATTTTTTTGTATATGTGACATTTTTAAATTTTAAATTTAAATTAAATTAAATTTTAATAACATATAATTTAATTTCAGTATAAATTTTTAAAGAAAATAATTCATGTTAAGGATTAGAAGCTAGGTGATAGCTAATTAACCATAGAAGTGGCAGCGACAAGCAAAATGTGAATACTTTTGAAGATGCAATGTATGTCTAAAATCTAACTTTTCATTTGCATAAATACCAAAAATTGTAGGACAGCTACACCACGTGATTTCTCTACATTAAGCCAGAGGTAAATGGAATTTCATTTTCATGTGATAAACACAGCTTTTGTCTCAGCTACGAGTCTAATTAACCACTTTCACTGCGCCAATGGGAAGAATATATTCCAGCTATGAATGTCACATTGAAAAGAGAAATTTGATCACCTAGCAAACATAGAATGAAACACTTATTTGAATATAATGTGTTGGTTGGTAAGAAAACAAATTTGTTCACATGATGTTTCTAGCATTTTTCAATTGTTTTAGGAGTCAAATTTTATTTTTACCATATATATATATATATATATATATATATATATATATATATATATATATATATATATATATATATATATATATATATATATATATAAATCTTAATTCAAAACATAGTATTTTATCACTCAAATATTTTTTGAAGTTTTAATATGCAATTATTTATGCACCGTATTTTAATACAAGATTTTTTAAAATACTTTTAGATCAATATTACTACTAAAAAACATGCATTTTGTGCTAAAAAGATTGTATTACATGCTTATAAAAAAAAACAAGGATAGTTTTGTATTTTGTGTGAAAATTTGAGATGGATATTAGAGATAAATTACATCATAAAACTTATTTTATTGTATTTTTAGTAAATTTTATCTTAAATTTATGTAAAATATTAGAATGGATTTGAAGTGCTATATATGATAATATTAATTATTCAACTTTTTTTAGTTCCATGTCAAATATGTGCAAAAAGTTGAGATTAATTATATTAATCATTTTTTCTTAAACTTATAGAAAGTTATGTATTAGTTCTCTATGCAATTTTTAGAGGGGTTAAATATATACTTATAAAATACTTATTTTATAATTTTTAGAGTTTCATTTTAAATTTGTGTAAAACTTTTTGATGAATTAAAGACATATTAATATATATATATATATATATATATATATATATATATATATATATATATATATATATATATATATATATATATATATATATATATATATATATATATATATATATATATATATATATATAGAGAGAGAGAGAGAGAGAGAATTTTGTCTCAAATTTATGTGAAACTTTGAAATAAATAAAATGATTTTATAATTTTTAGAGAGGTCTGTCTCATATTTATGTGAAAATTTAATACTTATTAGATACAAAATATATAATATTATTTACTTTTTTGATACTTAGAGGAATTCTATTTATATAAATTAATATTTTATATTTCAAAATAAAATAGTGACATTAATAAATTTCATCATTAACATAAAATTAATTGCACCTAATAAATTATAAGAAAAAATTCTTCACAATAATTATTCACCAATGTGTAATAATTTATAACATACATATTTTTATGAAGTATGACAGACTTAAAAAAGTATGAGAGAGTGAGATAATATAAATACTGTAATAACTTTTGCTTAAGTTACTCACGCTAATAATTTATTATTGACAATAAAAATCATAAGAATTATATGTGTAACAATAATATATTTATATTACTTTAATTTCATGCAAACCAACCATCATAAAAAATGAATGTGTAACAATAAGATATTGGAATTTTTTTTTGGAATAATTATGTATTAAATTTTTTTTTTTTGTAAATAACCATGTTTCAGAAGACTCTTTAAAGGAGGAGTCATCTCACTTGGCGCCTCCACTCAGCATTTTGTCCTAGGCGCCATCCCACTTGGCGCCTCCTCTCTCTTTTAGCCAAGTGAGATGGCGCATGCACTTTAAAAGTGAGAGGAGGCGCCATCTCACTTGGCTCCTAGGGAAAATTGTTGTTTTTATAAATAATTCGTCCGTTTCTCTGTCATTTCTCACACTTTCTCGCACTGTTTTCTTATTTTTTACTCTGTTATTTGCGTCATGACATCGCCCATGATTTTTACCAAAGATGGTTACGTTATCTTCTCCGCCACAAAACCTCCGATGAAAATGAAATTCTGGCACATTTATTCCATGGAGCGTCTGAAGCGGGAGTTGATGCGATGGCTAGATGGAGACATCGTGGAGGGGGGAAAATTAGAAGGATCAAACGAAGACGAACAACAACCTCACTTGCGACAGGAAGACCTAATGTTTGGTTGGAGGAAGTCAAAACAGACAGTGACGTAATGTTGATGATGCATGGGTCAGATGAAATTGCTTTAACGGTTGTAATTTTGTAGACGGTTTATCGTGTTTTTTTTTCTTGTTCGCGCAATGTTTATTGTAACAAATATTGTTAACGAAAAACCCTAATGTTTACAACATAATAAAGGAAACATTTTTTGTAATATAATTTTTATGTGGTTGAGGCAGTAGCCCGATTCAGACAATTTTTGCGATTGTGTCCGACCTGACGACATAAACCACACTTTCTTTCCAGCTTGTCAAGGGAGTCCATTTCGGTTTTGATGCGCTTACTTTTGGGACGACCCTTTTTATTCCTTTGCATTTGGTCATTGTGCCATACTATTTCGCCGTCGTATGCAGGCCAATAATCTAGCTTTGCTACCAAAGGGAAGCTGTTGTTGTAAATGTTTAGCAACATTTCAGATTTGTAAATGTGTGACAGAAGTTGTAGCGCGTCTTGTTAAGTATAAGCACACGCGGCAATGACATGAGAGCAAGGCATACGAAAGGCTTGAAACTTACCACAATTGCACCAACGAGAATGTAGTACAACCCTATACTCTTGTCTTGGCAGATCCTCGTTGTGGTCGATTGTCTCTTTGACAATGAAGTTTTGGTTGTGTCGGTCAAACCATATAACTATATGGGTGTTGGCTTTGGCACTTTCTGCCTTAATGTACTTCATGCAACTTTCACTCCATAGTTGTCCAGATTGCAACACCGCATTCCACATTTCACCTCTTTTGGCAAACAACGAAGCCATCCTAAAATATGTTGATTTAACCAAAGTAGTGACCAGGAGGTTTCGTATGTCTTCGAATACCCCAATCATCGATTCAATTAGATTTGTTGTCACGTGGCCCCATCTTTGTCCATTGTCGTATGACCTAGTCCATTTTTCTACCAGAATATTGTCGATCCACCTACCGACTTCCGGATTTGAGAAACGGATCTCGTTGCGATAATATTTGAACGTAGGTTGTGTCAATGCATCTCCCTCGTGAAAAAGATATATATAATATTTGAAAAATATTATAAATCGATCAACAAAACAAAAACAAACCGAACAAACACGATTAATTTGGTTCAGTTCCATTTTAAAATAACACATAAAACTAAATCAAACCAAACTGAAAGAGATATTATAACACCATCTATTTTAATTAATTAATTAATTAATTAATTAATTAATTA